GTAGTTTTAACACAAACATTTATTTTTCATATTGCACCAGTACAGTTAATGAGCAACCTGTACTTGTGTGCTTGTTTGTTCTGTCTAAAATGTTTATTTTGGAATAAAGAGGTTGATATAAAAAATATTTTTTTCTGATTCATCGATTAATCGAGAAAATAATCGGCCGATTCATCGATTTTTAAAATAATATACTTATAACATACGTGTATTCTGCAAACTTCTAAAATGGGGCTAGTGGAATAACTGGTTGTATCTGTGCCAAATAACACAAACTTCAAGAGTTTTAACATATACCTTGGAGAGGAAAAGACACCTGAAAATGCCTGTTGAACTTGTGTCCAGGTTCAGTTCAGCACTGAACTCTATTAATAGCCCAGCGGCTGACGTGCAGCAGCTCGAGCAGGCAGCAGTTTGTTCCTCTTTCATTGGTTGCGTAACAGGAGGGCACATGTTATGAACACAAGCTCAGTAGGAGGCACGCTATCTGGAGACGGCATGAAAGCTGAATGGGAAATCAGCATCCATTGCTTCACTGATGAGCGCGAGAACCTCAGCTAACAGAGCTGCACTTTTTAAGCAAAGACACGATATCGGTTATGCTGTTTTAACACAATGACACTATGTAAAATCTTTTCAATCAAAGCTTTCACAATGAGTAAGATGCAAATAAACTCTGCTGAGCTTAGGACAACCAGTAGCATTTACAATCTATTGGTTTGCTTATGTCTGAAGAACACATCAAAGGGTTAAAAAAATGTGGGTAGAAGAAAAATAATTTTTACAGAAGGCTGGCACAAGGTTTCATTTGAGGTGTTGTTCCAATACTTTGATTTTCAAAACAGTCTTTTTTATAACCAAAATTTAGATATGCATGAGCTCACAAAAGGCTTGCTTAAAAGCAAAGTTAAAAAGGAGAATTCTGTTTTTTTTTTTCTTATCAAAAATGTTATCCCTTCATGTTGACCTTTGTATTTGCTTAAATACACTGTTCTGCTTCCAAAGATTCTTCATATGGAGCCGTTTTTACATAATGATCCGTTGTAATGAACGCCAGGTGGGCGGATTGTGTTGATTTTTATGTTTACAATGCAAATGCCAAAACACCCCCAACCAAGCAGGAGAGGCAACATCTCTTCTATAATGGAAATTAGGCTAACTATTAGTATGATTAGCATACAAATCTTAGGTGGTGAATGAAACCAAAGGTTCCAGTCTCCACACTCCTC